GAAAATGGAGTGCAAGCTTGCTCTTCAGTGTGGTGGATGGGATAAGTGAGTTTTTCTTGCCCTGGATGTATGTCCCTGCCTGCTTGTGATTCCTTTTTGCTAAATAGGAAAACAATTAAAATAGTATCTAAATGACTGCGGTGTTGGATGAACAACTGTGGTTCACTCTCTAAATTTTTGAACACATACAAATCCTGCACCCTGATCAGCTTCGCGGTGCTGAATTGGCCTTTGTTGTGACAATTCATCCGGTTATACCATCCATCATCACACATTGCTGTCGTGAGACATGGTGTTCCTTCCTCATTGGCTGCCTTTGTGGCTGTGGGATCATTTTCCTGAACGGTAGCAAAAAGGAAGATAAAGTCTTCTGTTATCTAGAGGTGTAGGTTAGTTGTTGTCATAGATAGGCTGATGACAGCGTCTGCAGAGGCCTGCAAGTGTGAGGAAGGTTAATAATAAATGGACCACATGTTGTCTTAAACAGCATCTCCTGACTTATCTTTGTGGTCCAGGATGAGCCCATTTCTTGGTATCAGATGTACAAGTGCTCATCAGGGCCAAGCACAGAGCTGTGTTAAGTGCTCAGAGAAAATGATACCTGCTGTTTCCCAACATGAAAACTGTCACTGTGTTGCTCACGTTAAGAAGAAGGTCCTTCTCTGCACCTGCTCCTCTTCTCCCCGGGCTGGTTGCTGTCCCTCCTTAGGGTATTGGTGCCACACTGTGGATTCTTCCGTTGTCTGTGCTGTCAGGCCCCTGGGCGGCTACTATAGCTTCTCTCTCATTGATAGGGAAAATGCGTTCAGTCTCACTTCTCACTCGCTTAGAGGTCACCCCGGTTTGTATTTGTCCCTTTGCATTTTAACCTTCATTCTGGCTCTTTCCTAGCCCCTTTGGGCTGCTACCTTTTTTGGATGCTCTTTCTAGCTCTTTCACATTACTTCTCTCTAGGAGGCCTCTGGGATTCTTGCTTCTGAGCTTTGTGCAGATTTGCCCCACAACTCTGATGAACCGAGATGCTAAGGAGGACAGTGTGTCCCTGGGGGACGAATAGATAAGGAAGACAGAGCACACTGCCTGTTGTCAGATGGCACATTTATTCTGACACTTGTGATATGATCTCTTAAGAAATAATATATTTGGTCTTTATCCTCTCACACAGAGCTCCTAAACCTATGGGATAGCATTGAGAGAAGCAACTTTGTTATTCACAAAAAGCTTCTTTCTCCAATACCTGAATTTATGCTACTGAGGTGACTCTTAGAGGATGGAGCTCATTATCAAAGGAATAATCATGTAATCAGAGGCTTGAATCTCTCTCTCTTTCTCTCTCTCTCTCTCTCTCTCTCTCTCTCTCTCTCTCTCTTTCTTTCACAGATTCTCACTAGGCAGTTCAGGCTGTCTATAACTCTCTGTGTAGCCCAGGATAGCCTTGAACTTGCAGTGATTCTCCTGAGAGGCTTGAAACTTTCAACCCTACCCCTAGCCCTTTCATCTTCGACCTTGGGGAAAGGAAATAGAGATTATTTAGTCACCAAAGAGTGAATGACCAATGATTTAATCAATTGTGTCTGTGTAAAAGGATCTTCATAAAAACTCCTAAAGGAAGGAGTTCGGTACTTCCGGGGTGGTGAACACACAGACGTACTGGGAGGGTGGTGTCTCCAGAGAAGACGTGGAAACTCCTCGGTGTCCTCTGCTTCCCTATACCTTGCCCCATGCATCTTTTCCAGTTGGCCGTCCCTGAGTTGTAGCCTTTATACTAACCCAATAAACATAAGTAAAATGTTTCTAAAATTTGAGGAAGGGTTGTGAGAAATCGTGGTTTACAGTCAGTCAGAAGGGAGGCTCAGACTTTCAGCTGTCATCTAGAGTGGAAGCATTCTTGTGGGACCAAACTATCAACTTGTGGGATCTGATCCTATTTCCAAGTAGATAGTATGAGGATTGAATCGAATTGTAGGACACCCAATTGGAATCCACAGAGAACTGAAGAATTGCTTGATGTTAAAAACAAACAAACAAACAAACAAACAAACAAAACACATTTGGTGTAAAGAGTGTAAGGTTAGAAGAAATAGTTTTTTGGTTTTTTTAAGCCCCAAGTTTCCTGAGGCAAGGATTACCTGGTGGTGAGTTGTTTGCTGATGGAAATTCTTACCTACACAGTGCTGAGGGAAGAAAATGGCTGTTAGCTGCAGAATAGGAAGCTGACTAGTGACCTTGTAACTTTCCTTATCCAGTAGAATTGGCCGAGTCCACAGATGGGGACAGGAGGCTTTACACCTGTGCATACTTGTTCTTTCTACACCTGGCACCAGTGATGCCTCACAGATGCCCTATGACAAGGCTGGCAGGGACCTATTCTTACCCAATTGTCCTACTGCCACCTCAGACCCAGCAGATCTAGAACTGAGCTCATGAGCACTGCCCAGAACAGGTTCCCCAATCTCACTGGCCCACCTCCTGGGTTGTGACTGGGATATACCTTTGATTCATGTTTCACTGCAGGCCAGCTCCCACGGGTCCACCCAGTTTGCTGTTTGCCAAGTACAAACTCATCGCTGGGCAAAGGGCCCATATTCTTCACTTAAGGCCTTCCTGTTGCAGGAAAACAAACATATCAGAGGCCTTTGGGAGTTGACACCCTTAACTGCCCTCCCAAATTCCACCCTGGTACTCAGGCCCCTCATGGGGCCAGCCACAGCATCAGTGGGCCCCGTTTGCTGAAATACAAGATCTTTCTTTATTATGTTTCCATTTGAGGCTACTTGATTTTTTTTTTTTTTTTTTTCACTGTTTTAGGCCCGTTTGCTTAAATAAAAGATCTTTCTTTAGTATGTTTCCATTTGAGGCTTCTTTGTTTTTTTTTTTTTTTTTGCACTGTTTTCCAGACTTCTGAGGCAGTGGCTGTGCTTCCCACAGCTGTTCTTTTTTATTGCTCTTGTCCTGTTTATGTGAAATCTGTGGAAGGCTTCGACTCATCTTGAGCGCTAGATGCTCTTGTATAATCCTGCCAACTGTTTTGACCTTAGCCAATTACATCCTGCCCTTACATGCTTCCCTGTCTTTTACGTACCACTCTCTCTGCCTCTAGTAGCATTCCCTCCTTATCTTCTGAGAAAGCACCTGTTTGGCATTCAAGACTCAAGGAAAGTGCGTACTGTACCTACTTCTATCAGCATACCTCACAGTGTGTCCTGTTTATTTGCTCATGCTTCTACCTTCTCTTTTAGACTGTGTGGTCCAAGGGAGCAGAGCCTAGGTTTAATTTATCATTATTTGCTAATGCTCAGACCATCAAGAGTTCAGGGGATGTTGGCTTCATGAATCCATCCATTTATTGATAAGCATTTACTCATAAATTTCCTTGTGCCAACCACTCCCCTGGGCATGAGAACACGGGTAAAAAAGGCAGACAGGGTCCCCTTGGTTCCACAGGGAAGATGGCCAACTAGCAAGAAAACAAAGATATTACTGGAATCACTGTTCCTCAAAAGTGCTGCTTCAGAAGAGAGGTGTTTAGGGAAGGCCACTCTGAGAAGATACTTGGGAGCTGAGATCTTGTAGGTAAGAATAATAAATTGTGCAGAGAACCAGGGACTGAGCTTAAGGCAGAGGGCACGACAGGTGTAAACTTGAAAATGTCTGGCGTGGGGAGCAGAGAGAAGACCCGTACTCTTGACATGTGAAGAGCCTTGGAGAAAACACTTGGTGTTGGTCTGGCCACATTGCAGCATCTTTCTTGTAGGTCACAGTAAAGATTTTGGAATTTTCCCCAAGAGCATGAGAGACTTTTGGAGGAAAGTGTTTCAAACTTTTAATGTCTTTTATGGCTGGCCAAGTGGGAATCTGCTGATTTTTCCCTGCTTCTGCTATCTCCCCTTTGTCTGAGACATTTTCTTATATCTTAAGCCAAGCTTGCTTCCTTTCAGACCCCAGGATTCCTCTGGAACAATTTGAGGTACTCTTCTCACTGCAGAGAAGCTCTGGTCCTGGTTTCCACCTTGTCTGCCCCTGACAGGGCCCTGAGTTGCTCTTGAGGCTCCTGGAGTCCCTCATGAGCTCCAAACCCTTAGGCAGACTGTGCAGTGGTTCTTGGCCTGTGGGAAGCTGAATGCCTATTGTTTCTGAGCCTTCTTTGGTGTTTGTCTCTGGAAACCACTGTCCCTTACCCCCCTCCACAATCAGACTGACTTGTCTTCTGTGCTACATCCCCTTCCTCCAGGTGAACCAGCCTCTTCAGCATATCCGACTTCCCCCTCCCCATTTTAGATGCCCTGTCAAAAATAGATCTTGAGGTTATCTCCTTCCTTAAAAGTATAAAACGAAAATAGCTAATATATATCAAGCACTTACTACGTTCAAGAGAATGTAGTTAAGTGCTCTCTATGAAACTTTAATGACTCACTAATCATGATATCAGTCTTGTGAGTTAGATGCTAATACCCCATTTTATGGCTGAGAAAACTGAGGCTTAGAGATCACAGTACATGGCAGAGCTGGATCTGAACTGAGGCTGTGACCCAAGAGCCTGTGAATTTAACTGCTGTCACCTGGTCCTACTGGGCCATTTGGAGACTTGAAGGTGGCAGGTGAGGCTTCTCCACCAGGGTCACACCCACCCAAGGAAAGCATTGCAAGTGTGAGGAGATCCAGCTGTGAGGCACTGGAGCCTCTCCCAGGGGTGACTTGGAGCCTGGGATTTTCATCTTGAAGAGGTATAACAACTGCATTTTGCTGCCACAGGTGACTCTAGAGAGCCCTGGTAGCTTTTTATCATGGAAGTGAATGGAATCACATGCTGAAGATTTGTGGGAAAAGCACACTTGTGTCAAAGAGGAGATGCCAAGAGATGTCAGACACTACCCATGGACTACCAGGATTCTTCATGAAAGTGTACTGTTTGATGATGGATTTAAAGAGTCTTAATGGTCGTATGTGCATGATGTGGCACTTCTGTAATTTTTTACTTTGTTCTGTATTTGGATTTTCAGTAACAGGAGGAGGACACTGAACAGGAAGAGGAACCATGGCTTCTGATGCTAGTCACGCTCTGGAAGCTGCCCTGGAACAGATGGATGGAATCATTGCAGGTATGCTCAGGAGATCCAGTGCTTGAAATGTAGTCCTGCATATCTCAGAAACTGCCTTCTCACATTTTCCCTTTTTTGTTTTTGTTTTTTTGCACACAGAGATACCCTTTATTAGATTTATTTTTAAGTAGTTTTATGGTGTAGGCCATCTCCCCCCCGCTGTCTTTTTTACATATGAACTTATAGAATTCTAATATCCATTGTGATAGTTTCCCTAAACAGTGTGGATATATCATGTGCATGTATATAACACTGTCACAGTTTGGGTCCTCACTGCAAGGCAGTTTGGTGCAGTGAAATTGATTCTCTTGTACAATTTTCAGAGCATATATGCTTATTCGAGTAGAGCTGAAACTTGAAATCGAGCAGACTTTTCTACCTAATCAGTGACTGCTCACTTCCCCAGCTGGTCTTCAGCATGCTTAGGAGACAGAAGGCAGTTTTGTATTGATTCACTTAATGTGGAATGTTCTTTATAACATACTGCTTTTTATCCATTTCAAATGTTTGGTTTTAATATCAGCATTTGGAAATAAGAGACTTTATGTGGAAAGGATCTAACAAGCCAGTGACTAGTTGGAAAGGACTGCCAGTTGACTTTTCTAGGTGATTGATTCCTTCATGGGAACTGGAAACTTATATGGGTTATAACAAGTCTATTATAGAAAATCTTTCCAAAAGCTCCTGGGTCATTTTTCTTAGCTGCTACAGGTCAGAGTGGCCTTCTTTGCAAACAGGGTATACTCAGTCAAGACTTAGTTCCCTATTGTCAGCAGTGCCTGGAGAGATGGGGAAAGAACGTTAAGGACTGAGTGTGACTGCACCACACGAAGAGCTCAGGATATCTGACACTGCCCAGTTATAGGAATTTGCTTTTCCTTCTCATTGCAGATCTGACTCATGGAGAGTTCTGGGTGTTAGAGCCTGGGGTAAGGGAGGTAATCTGTGTCTCACAGCTTCATCATGTTATGGGTAGCCCTGTAATACAGTCTAGCTCTAATCTCTCAGGCTCTTAATTTCTCCATGAATAGGAGCACCCGTGAGACTCCTGTCCTACTTTCCAGAGTCTCCACAGATTGGGATGTCCTCTTCTAGGTTAGGGTCTTTGACATTGAGAAGAAAGCATCAAGCGTGAATTCTCGTTATTTTCATATTGGTCTCCTTGTTTATTATCTGCCTTTCTGTACCTGAATGTAAGCTCCACAGGGACACTTAGCACTGTCACTGTATCAGCAGTGCCTTGACTCATCTGCAGTGTACAATAGGTGTTTAATTAGTATTTGTCACATATATATTTTATTTACTTTTGTGACTAGGATCTCTTCATTGATTAAGAAGCAGATGTTGGCTTTTGTATATATCCTCTATCAGGCTGTGTACCCAACTTCATTTATGATTTTATATGCCTTTGTTCAGCAGGTTCTTTTGGAATGTCAACTCACTAGTTAATTTGAGAAGTTTGTATGTCCTGTGAACCTCCTCCTGGGTTATAGTTAGCCCATACAGACAGTTGACAGGAGCTACCTGAAAGATAGTCCAACCCTGAGGCTATTAGTATCTGAAGGGTAGGGATTCTATGCTATTCTTGATGCAAAGAATAATTATTGAATTCTATTCAGGACATTTTTTTTTCAAGATTATTAATGCCATCATCATTCTCAAATGGCTGAGCCAAATTGGGCCAAAGAAGTTAAGATTTTTTTTTGTGGTTATTAATGTAGTCTATAGGGTTAGACTGTCGATGTTTGAATCTCAGTGACTCGCTATTGGCTGTGGGATCGTTGGACAATTTACTTAGTTGTTCTGAGCAATAGTTTCTGTATAGATAAATTACTGGTAATAATAGTACCTACCTCGTATTATTGGTAGGATTAATTAATGCAAACACGACACTTAGAATAGTGTCTGGCACTAAGCAAGTGCTCAATTGATCTGTTATTGTTTATTGATATTAGTTTTAATACAATTTTTACTACCTAAAGACATAGTCTGATAAATGGAAGAACTAAGATTTGAATTCAGGGCCATCTGACTCTCTTCTAGGTGCTTTATTCCCAGGTTGCTTTTATGTCCTTGTGAGGGTTTACTATAGGAGAAAAAAGTCCAGTAGAGGAAGATGCTGTTAATTCGTGCTTACAGCCCCTTAGCCAGAGTGGTCGTGTTCTCATCTCGTCTTGTTACACACTATTCTTTCCAGGTAAGAGCTCCGTTGCTTTAGCAGTGGCACAGCTAGAAGAAAGTTTGAAACTGTGTTACCCTAAGATCACAGATTCTGCAGAAATGATATTCTTGTGTGAACATTTAAATCTTCTCTTTATTTGTATTTTCTGATTAATTGAGGTTGAATGAAATCAGGCATTGCTACCAAAATACAACTGCTTTTGCATCCATTGAAGTATCCAAGCAAGAACCCAGGGTTTTTATTCTGCTACTTTTAAAAAATGGAATTATCGCTTATATCAATGAAATTTTTATGAGCTCCCTATACTCATCAAATAGCAGCCACTTACACAGACAGCACAAATACCTACTAAAATAAATGCAGTTCCTTCAGGGATGATTATTAATATTATTACATATCAAAGAATTTCTCTTTATACTTATTCTGCATTATGATAAGTTACACTTCACTTTCCAAAACTCTTTCCCAAAAATGTGTACTTTGGTTGGGTATATGATATTAATGTTTGTGTAGTTAATTTTTTCCCATTAAGTTTATCGGTACATTTAAAGCAAACAATACAGTTACATTCATCATTGGGATCTCGTACCCTTACACGATATATCTTGGTTCTTGTTTTTTCCCCATATCCCTGCCCTCCCTTCACCCCCTTCACCCTTCTCTATTTACAAAGTGTGCAGTTAATTTTTAAAACAAAAAAGTATCTCTCCCCCCACCCCAGTTAGTGAAAACAGGGCAGAGGAGCGTCCTCTGAGAGTACATCCTAAAGCTGAACTGGCAAATACTGCCCCCTTCCAGGCACAGTGTGCTCCTCCTCATCTCTAGGTGTTCAGTCTTGGGACAGGTAAGAGATAACAATCAGTTCTTAGAAGTGTAGAAAGCTGTGCTTTGTCAGCAGGATTGTCATATAACCCTCTTGTAAACTTGAGTTCTTGAAATGCGAATGGGTGTATCCCAGGTGTGACTGTACTTAATTGTACCCCCCAAAATTTTATATTAGAAGATTGGAAAGAGGTAACTGCTAAAGATCCTAGAACCAGTATCAATAATGATTTGTTTCTAATACGAAAGACCATTGTTACAGCTTCCAGTAGGATATTAACCTTTGATCTAATCTTCCTTCTCATTAGCCCCTGTGATTCTGTCTACAGCTAACACTGTAATTGAATTATGCTGTTGACAGTTGAAATTGAACTATATATTTCTTAATTATTTCCCTCTGGATGACACAGAGCAACTGCCAGGGATGCTAATTTTACATAGGGCTTAATTTGTGGGCTAACAGGCCACTCTATCAGGCTACTTCTGGCACAGGACCAGCGAGCCATGTGGTCAGGACACAGAGGATCTCTTATTCCTTCTTGCTGTGGCAGGAGGTTACTTACGCAGTTATCTACAAGCAGCTCTAGATGATAAGGAATAGTTAAAAGGAGTCTGTTTCATGACAGTTAAAAAAGAGGTCACCTGGTCTGGGCCTTCCTGCCATGATTAGTGCCTGGATCTTGTAAAATAAACAAACAAACAAATAAATAAATAAAGTGTGGGGAGCAGAAAAGATTCCAGCGAAGTCTGAGATAATTCAGTTTGGCCCGTGACTGGTGTCAGCTGTGGTGTCAGTGGCCGATGATGGATGAGTCTGTGCTCTGAGCACTGGGGATAGTCCTTACCTGATCCTCTCCCCTGCTTCTCAAAGTGGACCAGCCCAGAGCGTTAACCAGTCGTACAGCATTAGAACCTAAACTTGTCTGTTTCCCAGTCGGGATTTAGGCTGACAGCCTTGATGGGTGTGGGGCCTCATTTCTGCTGTCTGAGAGAGTTTGGATATGACTGGAATTAGTTATTCCTCAAATACTTGCTATAGTATAGGAACTAATCTGAAAAATCCTTCTGTTTTCTTGTTAGAGGATTTTCTTTTTCTTTCTTTCTTTCTTTCTTTCTTTCTTTCTTTCTCTCTCTCTCTCTCTCTCTCTCTCTCTTAATGGTTATGGATAGGCTTTAATTTGTTCTTATGATTCTTGGCAAGTTATATTTTTCTAGGAATATCTACATTTCACTGAGGATTTCAATTTTGTTGGCCATTCCATTTTAATATTTACTATACTTGTTATATGTTTTCATTCTTAATATTATTTGTGCCTTTTCTCTAGTTTTAATCACATTTACCAGAGATGACTTTTTTGTTTTTGTTGTTTTTTGAGACAGGGTCTCACTAAGTAGTCAACGCTGGACTTGAACTTGCTGGGTAGCCCAGATTGGCCTCAAACTTGTAATCCTCCTGCCTCAGCCTTCCAAGTACTGGGATTATAAGTGTTCCATATCGCCTAGCATGAGATGGTCTTTCTTATTACAACTTTGAAACATCTTCCTTTTTTTGGAACCAAGGATCTAACTCAGGACTTTGTGCTTGCAAGGCAGGCGCCATGCCACTGAGCTAAATCCCCCACCCTGACAGAACTTTCTTTTGTGTCATTGAACAAGCCCCACTGTAAGTATGTGTATGCATTATTCTGCAAACAGTTGTATGTATTGATAGCTATGCATTATAGATATGTACTTCATTTATTTGTATTTAATGTCTCTGATATCTGTTCATCGTATTTTCTCTACTTTCTTAGATACATCTCTTCTATTTCAAAAATCACCTTTAAGAATCAACCAATAATATGTATTTCAAATTGACTTCTAATTTAATTGTTATGATTAAAGTGGTCTCTGATACTGACTGTGATTATTTTAGTTCTTGCTTCATGGCCTAAATTAGAACATTTTTTATTTATGTTATGTAGGTGCTCATGAAGTGTAAGCATGTTTTTCCAGT